TTTCATCCGTAAATGACTGCAAGTAAAAGTGTTTTTCCATAAAAATAGCAACTTGACTAGAAGTGCAAAGCTGCTGGGACAGACTCCAGCACCAACCCCCACCCCACCCCACCCCCCGACCCAGAAGGATAAGCGACTTAGAAAATGAATGAATGAATGAATGATAGAAGTGCAGAAGTAGCAGCTGATATCTTATAGAACTGCAGAAGAACTTCTTAGTCTGTCCAGCAACTATCAGCACAAGAGGTAAAGTCTGTACAACTCTGTTCTTCTCTGGTTCTCTTGTTCTAAAGTAAAATGCTAAAGCTGGTAGAAATTGAGGAGTTCTCATTTGTGAATACTCAGGAAAGCACAGATCCATTAGCACAGCAGGAGGCGGCAGCTTCAACGTTAACCCTCCGCCTGCCGAAAACAAACCATCTCACGGTTCGGTTTGTTCAGAGCAGATAAGCTGAAACTTCAGCCAGAGTGTTCAGGGTAAACTCCGCCTTCGAAAGCGGCGCATGTGAGGCCTACTGGGAAAGATCTGAGTCATTCTGCACACTTTTACACTGGAGTGAGATACAGTGACCACCTACATTACAGCGTGACTTAGTCATAGATGGAGAACCTCGTTGTTCTGCTTTGCGTTCATCTATTCTAGTTAGGTGTTCATCTAACCTAGACTGCAGACTCTGTTACCTGCATGTGGGGCTAATCATTACTACACAACTCACAAATTAGTTTAACAATAAATTCTGATTGATTCATACCAGACAATGAGTAATTTATAATAGATAGTGAATAAGGCATAGCTGATAATGAATAATGTTGAGCTAATAATACTGTACATATACTGTAAATCCTGTATATATTTACATTTCTACATATTTGTAAAATGTTTAAATTTGATATATATATATATATATATATATATATATATATATATATATATATATACACTGACTCTAGATATAGAATTTGTATCTATCTAATTCAAAGTAGTTACTGAATAATTCATAGTAGCTACAAAAATCATAGTAGATAATGAATAATACTGATAATAGCTGATAAAAGCTAATAACACTTTGCATTAGTGACTGAATTGTTTATTGTATATAATAAATAATCATAATAGTTACTGAATAATTCATAATAGATACTGAAAGAACTGCATATTAAACCATAATAAACTAGTTTATTATAGTTGTTGCAATATTCTAAAGGCTACAACCTACACAAAATAAATGCATATGAGACACACACACACACACACACACACACACAACCACGGTGTGTTAAACAGAGTGTGTGTTCATTACTGCAGGACCCCCGTCTCTGACCTGTTTGAGCAGCAGAGCTTTATAGAGGGTCATGATGGGCTTAAGGTACAGCACCATTTCCACTCAGCACACAGAGAATCACAGCGTATGTGAATAAATGAATAGCAGGATAGAAGTACACAGTCTGCCCCCTCTCTCTCTTTGTAATAACCACCTATTCTTTCCTCTCTCTCTCTCTCCCTCTCTCTCTCTCTCTCTCTCTCTCTCTCTCTTTATTCTTTCTCTCTGTACCCCCCTTCAAGTGTCCATCCCCACCTGCACCCTGGCAGCCTGTGACTCAGCACACACACACACACACACAAACACACACACACACACACACACACACCACCGGTCATCCCGTTTCCATGGCGACGGCGCAAGCACAGGGCAGAATCAGCGGCTCTTAAGAAGAGAAAACGCTGCTGGAATTTCAAAGGAGTCGGTCAAAGGGGGGGAGAGAGAGAGAGAGGGAGAGAGAGAGAGAGAGAGAGAGAGAGAGAGAGAGAGAGAGAGAGAGAGAGAGAGAGAGAGAGAGAGAGAGAATGGGTGTGTTTGTGCGTCACTGAGTGTGTGTGTGTTTGTGTGTGTGTATGTGTGCTTGCGTGATTTGTTTAAAAGCCTGATTTGCTGCTGGCGCACAAGCAGCCGATTAAATCACATAAAAAACGCAACAACAGCTTTTACAGCATTCACCAAAAACAAGAGTACTGAACACACACACACACACACACACACACACACACAGTCTATACACACCACTCAGTCTCCTCTGATTTTGTAACAAGTGAATAACCCCCATGTTGTTTATATCCTTTAATTGTAAGAGTCCCATAAATTGTGTAGTTTTTTTAATATATTGTACTGCGCAAAATTCCTTCTTAAGCACATTATTTGAGGTTTGAAATGGTTGACAGAAAAAACAAATATAAAATTGTGTGCATATTAAGTTTTAGTTTTAAGGTTACTTGTATTTATTTTAAGTGTATTTCCGGGCATATAAACACCTACTAACCAGATAAACAGCTTTTTAAATATGTAAATTTATTCACATTTTATCAGTTGCCTAAACTTTTGCACAGTACTGTGTGTATGTTTGATAACACTTTATAAAAACAGACATGACAACTTAATAATAGCCTAATAGTTTGTTAGTGACTGTTAATAATTACGTCATTGCTACATATTTTTGCTGTCGGAATAAAACGTCAGTGTTTTTATTCATTTCCTTTTTTTTTTTACATTTGTAAGAGATTTTGAAAAAGCTGGGATCAGCATTCAGCACTGGATCAATACTACTGCTCCTAAATTACTTGGAAAAAATTGTATTCAAAGTTTAGAGCTTGTTCACCTTCTTCAGTAAAGTTATTTCGGAGATGCAAGGTTTTGGTCCGACAGCGATGATATGCAGTTTTTCTCAATTTGAGATTGTTGTAAGAATGTTATAAGACTATTCAACTTCTAGTCGTTGTATCTAGAGAAATTATCTCACTGCACTGTCAGATAATTTTTCATGTTTAAAGAAATTATGTTTTAAACAAGCCAAAGAATTTGTCGACAGAACGTGTCCAAATAAAATGACTTAAAAATCGAATTAAATGTCTTTAAATGAGTTAATCAATCTTAAAACAGTCTTACAACAATCACAGAGTGAGTAATTACATAAATCGACTAGACTGACTCCACAGATGCAGCAGAGGATCTAGAGGAGAAAGAAAAACAGTTTGATACACAAAGCAGACTTCATGCTTCATGCATTAACACTGTTTTACTGTAAGTATGATGACGAGCCGATAGCCTATATTGCTGCCCGTAACTGGGCTGAACTGTGTGAGGAGTGCAAAGTCTCTGTGTGTTTTTTCTTCGGTTAATAATTTGCAGGCTTTGAAATCATGCCAGTTACTGCAGTACAAGTGTGTGATATGTTAAATAAGTCATGATAAAGGATCATATTTTATGCATGTTAGAGCAGCAAGACAGTTTGCTTGTGAAATAATATAGTAAAGCCAATGTAATGAGAACAAAAAAGCAAAAGGAAAAGAAGATGAAGATGATATGGACAAAAATATGAAAAATGGAATACTGTACCTTAAGCATTCATGTCCCAAAATGTCTCTGCTTACATTCAAATCCACAAATTCACAAACAAATCTGAATTTGAACTTTTTATTGAAATAGAACTTGCTCTTAATTATATAAAAAAGAATTATATACAATTATTAGACTGCAACATACAGTGTATAATGAATAATTAATGAAATTAGATTAGCAAAAGTAAAACAAATCACATGATGCCAAAAATGGAACGGAAACGGAGGTGTCTGCAGCTGTAAAATCAGTTCAACTCACAGATGGGTACACACGGGTTGCATGGCGCATGTTCAACATGCATGTGCGTGCGTGAATAAAGCCTCCAGAGTGCATATTCAATTACCTTCATATACTTGCCACTGCTTCTGTAGCTCAATTAGACAGATTATGATGTCCAGTATGGATGTGAATTGTGTTTCCCACATATATATGTATACAGACACATCTACTGTGCATTTAAGGTTTTGGCAAGCCTTGAACAGCTCTGTACTTTGTCCCCTGTAAACAGTGTCAAACTGACCCATTGCCCTAAACATGAGCGCACACATGAGCAGACTGTATTCAAAACAATAACATAGTAAAAGAACAAACAAATAAACAACAAAAAATAGCTTGGTATTAACATATGTACAGCTTGCATAATAAAAAAACATCCCTTCCCGTATGATTGTCTCCAACTCCACTAATGAGGTCCAGATGAAAGATTGTTTATTTTTGGTTTACTCTTTGAAAAACTACCATACGGCACAAAAAGGAACGTCTCCGTCTCGGTTTTTTCCCTCTAAGACAGCCCACTATTCACAAACGGACGTGACATTATTCACAGCATGGCGCTAAACCCGGAGCTTCATAACTCAAACATGTGCCGTGACGGCTCACTGACATCGTCGGCTGATTATGAGCCCCTATAAAACAGACCCACATATGTACGTTAGGCAAGGCACTCTCCGCGGGCATGTACGAGTGTCTGTAAAGTGAGTGTGCGAAGGCCAGGAAGCTGGCGAGGAGAGGAGCTGGAATTACCTGCCATTAATCTGTGCAAACAATTTACTCTAGCCCCGACAAAATGAAGACCAAGTAATTAAAGTCGTTTTTCAAAGACAGAGTGCAAAGCGGTCTGTGTTAAGTGTGCTTTTTCTTAACCTGTGCACCCGAGCTCAGGCCTTTTCACCATTTTTAACTTTACACAAAATGAAGACCCTTCATTCAGCAGGTTTATCCGTTCGAAGAGTAGAGAGTGTTGCAAAAACTGAACAAAAACAAAATGCCTCTTTAAATTAAACCAAACATGACAGAAAACACAGCCAGTGTTGAATCCTTAATTTAAACAAAAAAGATAAAATGATATGGACATAAACAAATCAAGTGTGATTCTGCATCAAAGTGAAAGTGAACATACTACTGAATTTAATTAAAACAAAAACAAACAAAAAAGATCCTTCACATAAACGTGTTCCGAATGCATGACATGCCTAGTTGTGTTTTCAGTGCAGCTTTGGTTTGCCTTTCAGTCCAAGCCCCTTAATACATGCCCTTAGTCCACATCATGTTGGTGTGGTGGTACGCTGTGCTGTGGTACCCTGCCATGCTTTGGAAGTGGTCTCCTACCTGTTTGGTGCTATATTTCGGAGGGTTGGTCTTGTAGCTGTAATCCGAATACTGGTCCGAACCGGTTGAGTTGTTGTCCCCAGTTCCTACAAAGGTGTTGGTGGCTGGCAGGTCCTGCACTGCCTGATGCTTCTTGGATGCAGAGGGGGACTGGGGCTGCAGCTGAATGGAGGGCAACGGGGAGTTTGAGCGGTAGTGGCGACCCAAGTCAGGGCTTCCTGGAGGATAATTCAAGGGCAGGTGAATCCTGGGACTGTCAGTAACGCTATCATTTATAAGATTAAACTTCAAGCCTTTCTGAAGGCTAGCCTCCTCGTCCTCCTCTAAAGGTTTGGCTGGCTTTGGTGCCTTGCCCTTCTTACCCTTCTTGCCTTTGTTGCTCTTGGGACCCGCCTTGGGAGCATAAAGATCTTTTGTCTCCTTCTTGCCAGCCTGATACCCACTCTTGGTCTCCTTCTGCAGACGGTGCCTGATGACCACCACCACCACAATGACTAGGATAACCCCAGCAATTCCTGCAAGGCTTCCGTACAAGATGTTGCTGCGCTGGACACGCTCGTAAGATGGATCCCCAGCAATGTCCATGTCCAGCGGAGTATAGAGACTGTGGCCGACCAGAGACTCCACCAATGTGACATTGCTGATGGTGTCATTGACGAAGATGTGGACCAGTGCAGTCGTGTGCCTGGAAGGTTTGCCCTTATCACTGACTTTTACCACCAGGCGGTGAAGGCCGTTATGCTTCCGGGTGAATTCTTTGGCCAGCGTGATCTCACCATCTGTGGGAGAGATGCGGAACAGGCCATGAGGATTTCCCCCTGTGATGCTAAAGTCAAGTTCAGCATTCATCCCAGTATCAATATCCTCTGCTTCCACCTTTTCCACTCGAGTGTCAGGGCTTGTTAGGGGCTGCAGGAACTTGTATGATGAATTGGAAGGCTTGGTAACATACGGGGCATTGTCATTCTCATCCAGGACATTGATGGTGATACCCACGTAAGAGGAACGAGGAGGGTCACCTCCATCCACAGCCTTCAACCGGAAAGTGTAGGTGCTTTCCTTTTCCCTGTCGAAGGATATGCTAGACAGGATGGTTCCTGTACCATTCTGAATCACAAACTTCCCATTGTCTGGTTCCACAGACAGATGCACACGTGCATTCTCACCCTTGTCTGCATCTAAGACTGTGACCATTCCAACAGGACTAAGAGGAGGCATGTTTTCCAGAACTGAGAAGCTGTAGCCACCCAACATGAACTTGGGGTCATTGTCGTTGCGATCAAGAACCCTGACCACGACCGTGGCTGTCCCCCTCAAGCTGGGTACCCCTTTGTCCGCCGCTTCTACATGAAACTCGTAGCGCTCCTTGTACTCACGGTCCAGCTGATTCATCACTCTGACCTCTCCAGTGTTCTGGTTAATTTCGAAAAGCCCCTTAGTGGCCGAGTCTGTGATGATACTGTAGATCAGCTCTGCATTGGTGCCACTATCAGCATCTGTAGCCACTACATCCAGAACTTTATCACCTGGCTGGTTTTCCTCTGCAAAATCTACTTCATAGAGAGAAGGGGAGAAGACTGGAGCATTGTCATTCATATCTGTCACCTGTACCTTCAGTGAGTTGGTGCTGGAGAGAGCAGGGTTGCCAGAATCCACAGCCACAATCTCAATCCTATATTCCTTGATCCGCTCATAGTCCAGGGGCGTAGTGGTCTGGAGGAAGTACTTTCTCTTGCTGCTAGTGTCTGAAGCTGAACGTAGCTGGAAGGGCACATCTCCCGCCACCACACAAGTTACCACAGCATTCTCACCTTCATCTCGGTCTGAAACCTCCACCAGAGCCACAGGAGTACCCACAGGCATGTCCTCAGATACATTGGCAATCCCATCCTCGTGAGCCACCAGGCCAAAGCCGCGGATCCTGATAGAAGGTGCATTGTCATTCTTGTCCTTCACAGTGATTGTCACTGTGGCTTTGGAGCTCTTGGCCTGTGGGCCATTGTCTCTGGCCTGGACGGAGAACTTGAGGAGTGAAACCTCCTCACGGTCCACTGCACCTTTCACCTGGATGATACCCGTATTGTGGTCAATGTGAAGGAGACGTTGCACGATGGGCGGTGGCTGGTGCAAGCTGTAGGTCACTTGTCCATTAGCTCCCAGGTCATCATCGTTGGCCTTTACCTAGTGCAATGAAAAATCACAACAATCAGGACACTGATGTAAGTTAAAACATAAAGCTGAACTGCTAAATGTTGGGATAAGCAACAATAAAAGGTACACTAACCACTGAAAGTTTGGGAACACCTTTTTTGGAAAATTTTTAAGTAACGTTAACGTTAACATAAATTAAGTAAGAGACATACCTGCGGAAGTTTTGTTAAAATTACACATTTCATTTGAGTACCCTGTGTCAGCTTTATATTGACCAAAGTGTCTTTCTTGACATTTTTCTTTTCCAAACCAGGTGTCTCCAAACTTTAGAAAGAAATCATATGTATCAGTATTACAAAAACCTTACCACTACATATTAAGATTTAACCACACTTTGTTTGGTGGCACATGAATCCAAGCCAATGTCTGTGTTTCAGCTGATCTATTTGTTACCCATATTCATGCTTAAAAAGGCATCAGTATCTACACTGCAATAGGCATAACCCCTATTACATACAACAATTGACCTATCCAGTGGATTTCAAAGGATGGAGTGCGGTCTATCATATTCTATTTATAAAACAGCTTTCAAAACGACTGTGCCTTTCATTTACCATACTTACTGGAGGCACCTGACTGCCAAATAACAGTGGTGTCACTCATATCAATGACGTACGAGTAAATGAGGCAGAAAGCTCAGTTCTTCACATTATTAAAAAGCACTTGCTCAGTAAAGGCCATTACAACGGGACGAGGATGGGGGCACTGAACAAGTCTGGCCCCACAGTTTGTACTCTCTGCCAAAATTATACCTTACACTCTCAGTAAAGGACATCACAGCTTATCCTAAAAGTGCATTAGGCTAATTAATAAATCAGCAGAGCTTTCCATAAAACTGATGTCAAGTACCTTTTAGTCGCACCGCTTTGGCTCCTAAATAGTAGTTTGTGTTCCTTACCACCATTAGCATCGCTAAGCAAATGAGCGTGGCCCAAAAGAGAATAAAGAGGACAGCCACCCCTCCTTAATGAGCCTACTTAGTTTTAAGAAGCTGTTCATTTATAAAATAGCACAAATGGCTTTTGAATTTGTAAAAAGTCAGTGACAACTGTTTGCAAGGATCACCGTTCAGTTGAATATTCAATCAAATGTGGGTTTGCTGTATTTAATTGAAGGTCATTCATTCTTTGAGAGGATTTCCATTCTCCAGCATGATCTATTCAACAAGTTCATAATCATTAAAGTACGTGGAGCTGACACCATGATACATATGTTGTAATGGTCATTTATGTCAACAGTTAGTGCTGTTACTGTTGAATCTCTCTCTCACTCTCTCTAGCTGTGGATGTAAAACCAGTGTGGCTTCAGTCCATGCATTAGAGAGCACAGCCTTAATCTGAGGCAGTCATAAGATTATTCATGAGGCTTAAGTTATTATTGCTCTATATGAGTCACTCTGTTTCATCCCAGCCAAACAAGCTGGGAATTCATTTCATCTAATGTGTGTTTGAAGAGCATTTCTCTCAGCAAACTGAAATACTCCATCAACATGTCTCGCGCACTGAAATTATAAAATTAAGCATTTTAATACCAACACTGCTTATACGCTACAGCTCCAAAGAGCGATTATAAGGTTTGGGGGGTGGGGGTGTTGGTGGGGGGGGAATCTCTTGACATGCTCTTTGAAAACAACTTGGTTGCATGGATTAATTGTTGACTGAGAGATTAACGGTCTTTAAAACAATTTTATGCGTGGACACTTGCCTCGCATTGCTCTTGGAAAGCATCCAGCTCTTGCGGCTGGGCCTAATCTTAGCAATGGCCGCATTTCCACAGCAATTGAACATGCAACGCTCCCCGCCGGTCAATACCTCACTTCTGTTTGGTAAAGTGAGTGTTTAAAGGAATCGCGAGGAGTGGATCGATTGCCAGGGTAAATATGATTGGCCTTGCCTGTTTCTGTAGGCGAAAGCTGTGCACAGACTGAGACTGAAATCCAGGAGGGAAGCACACATCAGCTGTCAAACTCCTGTGACACTCATTCTCACAGAGCCACACTCTAACACACACCTGCTGACAGATTTAACATGCACTTCCTGACAAGGGGGAATCACAGTGAGCACACCTGAGCCGTCACTTCCCAGGTAAGAAAAAAGTGTAGATGACGTCACTGCACGCTAAAATGCTGGCTTTTATCAAAGTGATCAGAATAATGCAAGAGGTTTGTACTATTCTCCTTCACCATAAGACAGGTGAATTATTTTTCAGGGTACGTTGCCACACTGCAAAGCATCTCTCTAAATGTAACAATTCCAGGGGTGTAATCTTACGGGGGTGGAGGGGGATGATGCAATGTTGAAAAGAAGCGATTTCATCCCTGCCTAAGGTTTAAATATAAATAATGAAAGAAAGCAGAAAGTGCATCAGTTGAGACATTTCAGGGGTCTTACAAAAACAACAAAAGTTCCAGTGGGTGCAATAACGTCTTTAGAGGGCGATGATTAGTAATGTTTGAGCTCAAGCTGTTCGTGTCTTCAGTTGGATAGTTCCTCTATCTTTGCTAACACATACATGTGAAGCTAATGTCACTGAGAAAAGATCAGAAACACAATTTAGCAAATTCTTTACTGATTAAAGTCACCAAGCACTATTTCAGTATACCAGAATGGAACAAAGAACGCCAATGTGCTGACTGCTGTTTCATTATAATGATGTAAAGAGTTTGCTAAAGCTGGGTAGCTGATGCTAACATCATTAGCATGTATGGTAGGTCCTATTTCAATCAAAAACACCTTTGTGGCGTCATAAGAAAGCACCTGTTGAGCTGGAACGGGTGAACATACCTGTAGAACGGACTGACCCACAGGCGAGTTCTCAGCCAGTTCTCCCTCGTAGTGTGAGCGTTCAAATTTGGGCACGTTGTCATTGGTGTCAGTGATGGTGATCCTGAGGAGGGCGCTGCTGTAGCGCGGCGGCGTTCCGCCATCTATCACCTTTATGCTGAGGTCGTAGGTGTCCCGCTGTTCACGGTCCAGGTTTCCCAGCACAATTAGCTGTGGCACCTTTTCGTCCGAATTATCCGCCACCTGCAGGCTGAACAGGTTTGCCGCATCTGAGCCTGCGCTCAGCTTGTAATCCGCAATCCCGTTGCTTCCTGCGTCTTTGTCCGTGGCCACAGGAATGGAGTAGTGCGCCCCGACGTAGGTATTCTCTGGAATGGCCAGTTCCAGGATGGGTGAGGGGAACTGCGGTGTGTTATCATTCTCGTCTTGGATTTCAATGCGGCCTTCGATAAGCCGCGGCCCAGAGCCTTTCATCAGATCCGTGATGGATACTTCGAACTCCAGGTAGCAGGGATCCCCCTCAAACAAGTTCCGGCAATCCTTCAGCGTCTCCCTGTCTATTGGAACTTCTGTGGTGTATATGTCCCCCGTCTTGCCGTCCACCCGCAAGTATGGGGCGCCCACCTCGAGCTTGTAAAGGTGGCCAGTGTCAGGCAAGCCCTGATCAGAGGCAAGACTTCCAACCAAAGTGTTGGGCGGCTGCTCCTCGCGTAGATGGTAGGTGATGGAAGCGAAGGAGACGCCGCAAAAGCAGAGGAGTGCGATCCACCCCAAAACCACTGACCCCATCGCATCCACACCCCGGCACATTCTTAGGCTGCTTCTGTGGAAACAAACAACACAAACAGTCGGAATTAGACAACGCCTCCTTTTTCCTCAGATACAGTTCTCTAGAGCCCTGAACCTGCCAAGGAAGCTTTTAAGGAGGGGCAGCCACAGGATTTCACAATGTTAATTCCCCAGGATTTCTGATTGATCTTTCCTTCTTGTACTGTAAACCTCTCCACTTGTGAGGCCCCGAACGTGTCACAAACAATTACTTGTGCTCGACCTTCATTTCACAAAGTTCACGCCATGTCCAATCCATAAAGCTAGCGCCAGCCTGTAATAGCTTCAGGTACCTGTGCTGGGTGGCAATGAAAAAGACAGAGAGAGAAAGAGAGAAAGAGGAGATGTACACAGAGGGTTCAGCTCAGAGCTCCATTAGCTTGTCCACTAGACTGAATATTTTTACTAATTTCCCTCCGCTTGATGTGTCCCTTGAAAGAAAGCGTCATATTTGTTGCCAACATCAAATGTAGTTTCCTATAGCTGTGATCTAAGCCACATCAGACTAATGAACGGCTTTTCTACCATCACACATACTGCACACAGGAAATGCTTTGATTTCCTACCTGTTCTGCGCATTATATTAATTACTGCTTGCTATTTTAGCTAACACTTTGATCCCAATTCCCAAGTCTGGTCATTTTCTTCCTTTTTTTCCCACTGGCTGTAATTTATTTTGGAGTGAACTTATTCCCAGAGCCAGAGACTGGAAGGAAGTCACTGAGGTTAATCTACCACTTTCTCACGATGTTTTTTTTTCCCATTTTTCCCCAAACCAGCTCATTCAGCTCAACCCTGTCATCCTGTTACTCTACAGTCTTCCAAAAAACGCAAGAAGAAAAAGAGAAACAAAACAGCGACGACAGGATGAAAGCTATGGGGAGGTAATAAGGAAAAGAAAGAGAGAGAGAAATTGATTTGTGGAGCAAATGGCAGCAAATGGCACTTTACGACAGGTCACTTTGATGTCACAGTGTTAATTGTTAGTGGAAGGGTGGGTGCTCTAATTTTGGGGGTGGGGGACACCCCCTGGAGTGAGTGAATGAGTGAATGTGTGAGAGAGTCAAAGGTGATTTGCATCTAAAAAGTTTAATTTAAGGGCAGTATATGCAGGAAGAGAACACACACACACACACAAAACACGTTTGTTTTAATACCTTTTTTGAATATGAGATCATGCATATGTCCCATGCATAATGTATGCATAATACACGTAAGTATTTATATATGATAATATTGTGTTCCCTATGTATCACATATACACTTCAGTACGTGTATGGAGTAAATCCCATGTATTGTACATATATGCTGTAATAACAATAATATGTACTATACATATCAGTATCTATATGTAAAAAGTCTCATATGTATCATCTGTATTACATATATATGTATCTATATTTAATAATAAGTCCCATACTTATTATACATATTGCTGTTGTCAGAACTAAACCTTCAAAATGAGAACTTTACAGGAAAGGAAGGAAAAAACCTTCATTACTTTTAATGTAAGTCAATGGAACCAGACTTTTTTCCAAGTCATTTTGGGTCATTTCTTTGGGTCCATTCATCATGAAATTTGCACACAATGTAAAGGACAACATGCATTTTCCAATTATGTCAAAAACTGAAAAACAACAAAAATTGAGACACAAGGTTTTGTCCCGACAATGTATGTAAGTATCTATACATAATAAGATACCCCATATGCATTATATTTATGCACATATCTATATGTAATAAGAAATGTCCTAATTCTAACCCTAATCTTAACCTAATGAACCAAAATAGAATTGTTTTTGATCTTCCAGCTTTAAAAAATGAAACACTGTTCTGCTGGCATGCTAGCCTTGTTTTTCTCTGCTTTTTGGCCTGAACTTGTTCACAATGGTGTACTGTCCATGAATACTGGAGTTTTCTGATGGCCAATAATAGTAATAACACATTCTTTGGAGGTCGAGTGTTCAGAAAGCGCACCGATGAGTGCAGTAATTGGTGTAAAGAAAAATAAAGGGAAAAGGCACTGATCGCTGCTGGAGAACGGTGTTCCAGAACAATACGCTAATGAGTCTGAAACACACTGCACTGCGAGATCCAGATCACACGCAGGACCAAAACACGGCCCGCTCCAGCCTAATGCCCCGGCCTAATCCAGCCTGCGTCCACACTGCCGGCTCTGGCAGTGTCTCCTTGGCCTAATTAAGCAGCGAGAGGTGGTCAGGAGGCCGCGGAGGTGGAAAATGCCTCACCTCTACAGCGGCCAGCTCACAGTGGCATTTCACAGCACTGCGGCCCAGAGCTCTGAATAAAGCTCGGCCTGTGATTTACAACGGCCTTCTTAATCCTGCAGGAATCTACGTTGGCTTTTGGACAGCAGACAGACCTGCCTTATTCTTTTCTTTGTAAGGTTGATGTCATTAACCGTTTAATGCTTACAGAAAAAAAACACACATATATATATATATATATATATATATATATATATATATATATATATATATATATATATATATATATATATACAGTTCACCATAAAGGCCAGTATTTTCCATGATGTATTATCAACTATACGTGAATTCAGGAGTTGCCCCAGCTAGGACAATTGAAAACTCCTGCTTTTTTCATTTCCTGGTCCATATAGTCCATATATGGAAAGAAAAAGGCAAAAAATTGCTTATTTTGAATTCACTGTTTTTGTGATGTCACAAAAACCATTCTATTTCCATATGTCTACCTATTCAGCCTACAGCAGTTAAGCCCCACCCATTCAGGATGAAGTTATAAAGAATGAATCGGCCTCGGCTGCTTTCTGAATGAGGCATGATACAAGGTAGCCAATCAGAACAGAGCTCATTTACATATATCAGTCATAAAGGCACAGTAGCAAAAACAGTATGTTTAATTATAAGGACTAAAGTGAGGTCATGTAGAAATGAATTTTGTTTTAAGTACACAGACAAACAATATAAACAGAAGTGAAAAGGAACGGAGCCATAGAAGAACCTCTTTAGTTCCCCTAAACAACCTTTAAAGAGACCGCTCTTTGTTTGTAAAAGAGCTCTAAAGTCTCAAGAACCTCCAAATAATGTGTTACATCAGAGGCTCCCACCTTGGAGAGTTTAGTTCCAGCCCTCCTCTACCACACATACAGTTCATGAAGGTCTTCAGGCGCTTTTGAGCAGGACCAGGTGAGGTAGATTTAGGACTGGACTTAAGGAATCCTTAGTGGAAGATCATCTGGACCATGGCAGTTCTAAACAAATTAAAAATATGTCTTAGAACCGAATGTCCAAGCCGAGAACTATTTATTTTAAACCTCACTGAGAAGTTGTGGAACTACTCTGGGAAACTGTAGATGTTCAGCGGCTCAGAGCAGACAAACTGACTGAGCTTTTGGAAAAATGTGGCCTAATGACCTCACACACTGTAGGGTTATAGGTCAACAGGAGGAAACCAAACAGACCGTGTCATTAAACAAACAAGGAGGGGGGAAAATCAGCCATAGGGAAAGGTCAGTAATGTCTCACTGAAGAGAACCACTGAGTCTCAAAAACAGTCCAATATCACACACGAGAGGGGAATTTTAGAAGTTTAGAAAGGTCAAAAACTTCCGACAGTCAGAAATAAGAAAACCTCAGAAGTCTAATTTTAAAGTTAGTGCTTTTTCCACTGTTTGAAAACACCAGCTGTTACATTTTCTTATCCATGTTTTCTGTAATATTTTTAACTGTTTAAACACGTCTTTAGACAATCTCCAAAACAGCAACTTTACAGAAGATGTAATAAAAAATCTTAAATAAAATTAAATTGTGAGATTTGCTTTTCAAAATTTGCATTACTTTGACCCAAAATTTATACATTTGTCCCCAGCAAACGTCAAATAACTTGGGGTTAAAATAAATCAGATCAGTATTTAACACTGTGTTTTTTAAAGCACAAATAAAAAGGGGGGTTGTTTTTTTACTCCAGCTGCTCTTCACACTGTCACCATTTCATCACGAATTGACCAGTTCGATTCAGAAAAGTTAAACGTTTTTAATTCGTCCATAAAGTCACCATTTTGGAGAGCCAGGTTTCCTAACAGACACAAAATTATACAAAATTGTAGGCACCTATAAAAATTATATGTAAAAAGTTATTTATTTGGTCAATAAGTCTTTATTCTCTAAAACACTAATATTAGAATAAAAAACAAATATCATTAATATTATAAGTACTGATTTAATGTGTTAATGTGGTTGTTTAGCCATGTCCTGCCCTCTCCTCGAGGAAGCTCAGTATTATTAGTAGTTACTATCCAGTACTGCTTTATATAATCAATAATGAATTTAAATCATTATTAAAATTATTAAATTAAATCAGGTGCTGCTGATCAAATTGATCAAATCCATGTAAAAGCTGGAAAGCAGCAAGAAGTTAAGAACCACACCTTGTTTTTATACCCAGCTCACAAGATATCAAATATCTTCTGAAAACAAGAATTTATGTTATATATTATTGTATGTATGTATGTTTACATTTATTGTAATGTTATACAGTGTTTTTACTGGCAAAAACACACAAACTGCCCAGATAAACCATTTTAAACTTAAATTTGAGACTTTTGCACAGTAGTGTAGGATCACAAAACCTTTTATCTCCAAAACAATGCACTTTTAAAAAAGATGGTTCTTCAAGGTTTCTTTATAGAACCATAATACTCAAAGAACCATTTGCACGCTTAAATGTTTCTTCGCATAGTGAAATGATTCTTTCGTTTTGAAAAATGTTTCTATATAACACCAAAAAGTGTTCTTCTATTGTAACAATGTCAAGCTTGTATACAATAGAAGAACCATTTTCAAAAAGGTTCTACATAGAGCCATATACAACATATTCTCCATCAGTCTGAAGAACCATTAAACCATTCAAAAAAGTTTTAGCATTCAAACGGTTCTCTGAGTGTTCTTGGTGCTATATAGGACCACTGTCTTTACTAAAGAACCCTTGAAGAAC